TGGGTTGTAAATATGGCTCACGATGTTCGATGTTTTTGGAGTTGGAACCAGGGGCATTTTGGTCATATATATAGAGATTATGTTAGAATGATTGAGAAGGGGTTTAAAAATGATTAGGATTGGGTTATGACTTTATTCATTTGTTATTACACGCATAAAGAGAGGTTTTATGGGAATGGGAAGTTTTATATTCAGGGGTATTTAAGGAATATTCGAAAGCCTAAAATGTAGTTTAGTATAAAGTGTTTTGCTTTTTTTTTTATGTTTTATGTGCCTTACATTATGTTTATTTCTTCATATTTATTAAATAGGAGGTGGGAGTGAAGAAGTTCCAGTCATGCTTTACGCATAGTTCAAGGGAGAAGCAACTGTTGAGCCTCTGTTCTGCTCTGTTCAAAGTTCAAACAGGTGTGATTATTTTAGATTTGATCAAATATTTATTTGGTTTTAGTCGTGACAAAAATATTTATAATAGTCGTGACACTTAAGTTTATCCTCTGTTCTCCGTTCAAAAATATTTTAGTTGTTTGATTGTTTTGTAAGTTCCCTACATGCTTGTTAACTGGATCTGGTTACAAAAAAAATATTTTTCATTCTGATCAAAATTAAAATGCATGGGATGTTATTTTGTTTGCCCCTAGTTTACTTTTCTCTTTTCTGACCATTTTACCCCTGGACACCAATGCATGGATCTTTGCTCTATTTTGGTAACATAAGCCCCTCTGCGATTTTTTTTCGCCCTGTGGTTTCATTTTGTTTTGGAATTATATGGTAAAATAATGAATTTGCCCTAAATCATTAGATGCATGTGATTGAACAACCTTAATGTCTTCAAGTTTCAGCGTCTTCTTTTGAATTGCCAAACAATTGGAACAAATAGCAAAATACCCTTTTAACCCTACAATTTCACAAGAAAAGTTTCAATTTCAATTCCAATTCCAATTCCAATTCCAATTCCTTCAATAACAACTCTTTATCTGCTTCCTTGATTTGTGAGATTTGTGACATTTTGCAATAGATTCACGTTAAAGCAACAAACTGACAGAAAACAAATCTTTCGTAAGTACTAATCAACTTACAAAAGAAAAGAAACAAATTATTATCTCTAAATGTTTGATCCTCTGCCTAGTTGTAATTAAGTGTTTTGTAAGTAGTAATCAACTTTATGTAAGGTTTGAGTATTAATTAATAGGAGGCTTATGAAGTGGTTCATTCCATTCCTTGATTATGAATTTAATGGAATGGAATGAACCATTCCATTCCTTATTTCATGTTTATGTTTTTTCATTTTTTTTCTATAATAGGAGGCTTATGAAAGTGCTATGGTGAATAAGTTTGGTGATGATACTAGTTGCCACCCCCTCTTGGATAATGAAACATGGTGTGATGTTTCCGGAGGAGTCAAGAAAGGAAGAATATATGGATTTGGATCTGTGTCTGATCCAGAGAGCTTTTTGGAAGGAACATCTAGCACAATAACATCCCAAGAGGTTCGTTTAATTTTGTACTTTATAAAAATTTGCTATCATAGCATTGTACTTACAAAGTTTCCTATCATGGTATTGTACTTACGAAGTTTCCTATCATGGCATTGTACTTACAAAGTTTTCTATCATTGTACTTTAGGTTGTCTATGAACGTGTAGGAAACGAGATGCGTGGGAAATGGATGCTAAAGTTGCCGAAATAGAAGCTAAACATCAACAAATGCGTGAGGAAATGGATGCCAAAGCTGCAGCAATAGATGCCAAATAACAACAAATTGATTCAAAAAATGAAGCAATGGATAAGATATATGCAGCCTTGCAAAATATGATGGGAAATTGAAAATTAGAGGTAATATGATGTTAACCATTAGTATTTGATGTTTTCGATGACTTGTTAACATTTTGTATTTGATACTTTTGATTGTTTTGAATAATGTTTTATAGGAATGAGAACCAAAGATGATTGGATGGACATAAAATGAAGTTATGTTATTTTGAAGTTATGTTTTGTGAAAACTCATTTCCCGATGCATACTTTGGATTTCTTGGTGCTAAAATGTTATTTTGAAGGTTAATCTTTTTTTTTTGTTTGTACCTCTATTGCATACTTTGGATTTCTTGGTGCTAAAATGTTATTTTGAAGTTAAATCTTTGGGAGTTTGATGTTATATGGATAGTTTTGGTTTTCGATGTTTTTTGAATGATACTTTGGTAAACTTTGATAGTTTTGGTATTGTAATGTTTGTTTGTATTGTTATTCGATGTTTTTTAGTATAAAAATTTGATGATTGTAGTATTTTTTTTCTTTTAGAATCATAAAAAAAAAATGATATTACAAGTTCGCGACGGATTGGTGAGAATAAAAAAAGTATTTTAATGCATCAATTTTGCGAGGAATTAGCTACGAAAAAAATATCATGTCTAAAGTTTGCGACGGATCAGTGATGGAACAAAAAAAAATTAATGTATAAATTTTGCAAGAGATTAGCTATGGAAAAAACCATGTCTAAAGCTTGCGACAGATCAGCGACGGAAAAAAAAAATCAGTATATGAATTTTGCAAGGGATTTGCTACGGCAAAAAAAACAAAAAAAAAAAAAAAAAAAAAAAAAAAAAAAAAAAAAAAAAAAACTGTTCAAGGAAATTTGCGACAGAACAGCGACGGAATGACTTTATCAAAAATTTTCGCTAATGCCCTGAGTAAATGTATTGACTGACATTTAGCGATGGATATTCTCTCGCTGCATTTGTCGCAAGGAAAAACCTCTCCGTCGCTAAAACCTCGCTGAGAAATTAGCCACCTATTAATTATCTATGGAGTCAAACGTCGCTGATCCATCGCAAACAACATTTAGCAACGGATACTTCCGTCTCTAAAACCCATGTTTCTAGTAGTGTAATTGGTCGACATGTTCTAGACTTTGGGAAAAATCAGCAACATCCAGATAGAAAAACATGGAAAAGATTAGATTTTCTCTAAATTTTCTCTGTAAGTTTTTTTATCCTTTACTTATGTCAAGTGTGTATTGTAATCCCTGAATGGATACTTCAGGCAGTTATTTATATGGTTTTCCCGAGTCTTATTTGTATAGTTGGAGTGAATACATGGTTAAGCGTTTTGGGGGAAGAAGATAGAGATGTGTGGTCATTGAGGTTTATTATTGGTGGTGATAACCCATTAGTTTTCTGGTGATGGGAGGGGATCAAATGGAGACGGTCTACTAACTTGAAAACAATTCTTGAATTGTCTCCATTTTCTTCAAAAGATGATTTAATGCAACAGGTTTATTTAATCATTTATATTCAACAAGTTTATTTATTTACTTTTTATTTTTTCTGTTTTTTAAAATTTGTATAAACTTTACCAGTTTGAAGATAGTGGGCCACATGGGACAAAGGTATTAATATACAACTTATGGCTGAATGATGAAGGCATTAATGAATTAAACTTTGACGAGGTTAATGATGTATTATTATAAATTTTATGAGATACTATGATTTTTTTTAAATGTAATAATATGATTAATTGTTTTTCTGACATAAGATATAAAATTGAAGGATTTCACCAAAGGTGACCCAAACAAACCATGCAAGCTACTACTTTCTTGGGTTATAAGGATGGGATGGTTGTTACTATCATCGATGTAAACTCCCCCTACTTATAAGCCTTTCGAATTCTTCAGGTCTATTTTCTGCTATAAATTTCTCTGTAGCGGTTAAAATATCATCTGGTTTACCGAAAATGCCCTTGTTTCGCGGTAAATACCATATTTTAACTTGTGGATTTCTGTAAAATGGTCTGATGAAATGCATGCTTATAAACATAAGAAGCTCCATTGAAATAAGGCAATACTAACCAACATGTGGCAAATAGCCTAACATATGGCCATATTGGGAACCTGAACCATGGAAAATCGTGTTAATTTACTCTAACCTTTTACCATTTATTAGACAATACCAAGTTAAGATTCAACTAGGGGAAACATTTTAGTGAAAAATAGGGTTTAATAAGTACCATTCAAGAGGCTTTTGAAAATGTAAGTTTAAAGAGAGTGATTAATGATTATAGAACCAATAAGTTAGCCATTGTTGGTCATTTGTTTGAGACCCGGAACCTGAACCATGGAAAATCGTGTTAATTTACTCTAACCTTTTACCATTTATTAGACAATACCAAGTTAAGATTCAACTAGGGGAAACATTTTAGTGAAAAATAGGGTTTAATAAGTACCATTCAAGAGGCTTTGAAAATGTAAGTTTAAAGAGAGTGATTAATGATTATAGAACCCAATAAGTTAGCCATTGTTGGTCATTTGTTTGAGACCCGGAACCTGAACCATGGAAAATCGTGTTAATTTACTCTAACCTTTTACCATTTATTAGACAATACCAAGTTAAGATTCAACTAGGGGAAACATTTTAGTGAAAAATAGGGTTTAATAAGTACCATTCAAGAGGCTTTGAAAATGTAAGTTTAAAGAGAGTGATTAATGATTATAGAACCCAATAAGTTAGCCATTGTTGGTCATTTGTTTGAGACCCGGTCTCTATAGCTTTAATTGAAGCATATCTGGTCAAGAATAACACAACCCTTCAAAATCTAAATACAAAAAGATATATAACATGATTTTTGTGACTATATGAAAAAATATATATATATATATATATATATATATATATATATATATATATATATATATATATATATATATAACTGCATCAAGTTTCACACATCGATAAAATGAACTCTTAAAAGATATAAATACTATGATTTAATGATCAATAAGAATGGTTGGCCATTACATTTATTCATCAAAATCTGTTAAATAGTTTATGCTTCAAATCTACAAGTTTTTGTATTTTTGCAATAATTAATATTGTTGTGAATGATTTAACTTTGTCAAGAAAAATGTTATTAACACACCGTCTTTCTTGATCAATATATGAAAAAAATGCACTTAAACTATAAAATTATCGAAACAACTGCAAATCATGCAAACGAATTTTCTTTGGTTATATTTTCAGAGATGTCAAGAAACTCGGATCAAATTACTTTTGAAAAAAAAGAGTTTTCAAAATCTACAGAGCTTCACGAGGTGAATGGTTGTTACTATCATCGAGACCTTTTTGATATTTATAGTTGGTTAGTTTGTTGAATAGTTAGTTAGCTTCAGTTAGTATACCTAACCACAGTTAGTTAAATAATGGTTAGATGATCAGAAGTATAAATAGCTTTGTAATCTGTAATTCAATTCATTCAATCAGAATACATGAAATGATTTCACTCTCTCTCTCTCTCTCTCTCTATATATATATATATATATATATATATATATATATATATATATATATATATATATATATATATATATAAAACTTGAAATGGTATCAAAGCAATTCCGAATTGAATCTTGTTCTTGATGATTTCATTTCTATCGAAAACATTCTAATTTCCTTTTATGCTTGACTGGTTATCGTATTTGATTCACCATTGATTGTCTCTGTAAAATTCCTTAATTGATTCAATTTGTTCCATAATTCATGATGACTTTGGATCCTACACAAACTATTGTTTCTGATTCTTCTTCATTGAAAGGAAATGATTCTCCAAATATGTTTCTAGTATCAACATTACTTACTGGTAATGATAACTATCTTCAATGGAAGTTTTCGATTCAGCTAGCTCTTGGAGCGAAGAAGAAACTTTGTTTCATCGATGGTGTAACACTGTAAATTTGAAAACAATTTTTGATTTAAAAATAATGGTTTAATTCTTAAAAACACTTTTTCTTGATATCTCATTCATAATCAAATTACAAAACATCACTCCATTTTCACTTGCATAATAAACCAGGATCCTCAAAATATGACTCTTTCGCTGGTGTGTACAATCAAGTCGGTGCCGTTCCGTGATGCAAAAAGAAGCCTGGAACACATAACACAAAACACTGTAAGCACGAAGCTTAGTGAGTTCCCCAAAATACCACATATAACACATATTAGCCACTCGAGGATGTAACTCTATGGGTCCGTGCACCCAAACTCTGTGAACCCTCAGGTTCTAACTCTGGGAACCTTCCGGTTCTAACTCTGTAAACATGCACAACATAAATCACATAGAAATAATGCAGTACAACACATAACATACACAACATACAAATACTCTATCACATAACTCTGGTTACCTACTCAAGGTAAAGTATAGTGAGAAGACTCACCTGGCAATCCTAAAGCAATTATCTGCACATGCGAACCTCGGACTCGCCACCGCCTAACACATAAGGAAAATACCTCTAATTAATACTCGAAGTCCCAACTCTAATTAACCCGGCGATTACTCTTTCCCTCTCTAGTCAGGTAATGGGTAAAAGACCATTTTACCCCTCCCTGACCTCTATTACCTCTATTGACCAAAACTCTCAAAGTCAACATAAGACAACTCAAATCAACGGTCAACACTGACCATACTCGGCGAGTACACAAGAGTGACTCGGCGAGTCCATGTGGGTTCCCTAAATCCTTTTTAAACCTCTTAGACACGACGAGTTCCCTCTCCACTCGTCGAGTTACTCGGCAACGAATCGCGGGGAAACCCCGACTCGTCGAGTCTGCCTATGGACTCGGCGAGTTGCTCCCATGACAACCCTCATCTGACCTTATGGTCAGATCTGCTTCACCAAACATAGATCTAACTCCCTCAAAGCCAATAACCACGAAAAGTCGAACCTTGGGCATTCATGCAAAGGTTCTACAAGCTCATTTGGGTGAAACCCTCCATTACAAAAACCCTAGCTCAAACCTTCAAATAGAATGCATAAAGCAGGATGGAAGGGACTCTCTAGACCTCTTTGGGTCCAGATATATGGCTTCACACTCAATGGGACGCTATACTCCACAAATCAAGCCATAAAAGAAGCTAGAAAACCCTAAAATCACCAATCTTACCCAAAACAGAAAAGGGAGAACGATTTGATACCTCTATGGTGAAGATGCAAGCTCAGAAGCTCTGAATCGACACCCCCTGACCTCCGTTTTCTGGAAATGACTACTCCATTGCACAACCACCTCAAAAATGCTCCA